TTTATGTTATCACAGTCAACTCTACCTTGAGAAAGCAGCTCTTTCCCAGTTGTTTTCTGAGTGTCTTCACCTGAGGTGTGCATCTTCCAGCACTATAGCTGACAGTATTCTGGTGCTCTTCATCATGTTTCAATATTCCATATTCTGGTGCTGATAGTGTTCCACTGTTATTCATAAGGTTTTTCAGTGGCTAAACATTCAGAAATATTCCTTGGCTTCTTGTTCCTAGTCTATCTTAATTTGGAAGCTCATTGGAAACCTGTCCACCATGGATGATCCTGCTGGTATTAAAAATACTGGTGGCATAGCTTCCTGCATCACAACAACACACAAACCACCACAGTAAGACAAAATGTCAGACGAGTGGTAGATTTTGCTCATAGAATCCTTCAATGTATCAAGTTGAGGTTTAAATTTTTTTTCTTCAGTCCTTTCATCTTTAGAAATGCTGAGTTTGTTCTTCCCTTTTGATTTTAACTACAGGACTTTGTACATTTCACTATAATATTTTGTCTTGAGCTGTCCATTGAAATTTCTGTGCAGTTCTATTACTTCCTCATTTCTTCAAATTGGTATTTAGGTTCTCTAAGTTTAAAAGCAAGTTTCAGAGTATATTTTGAAACATTTTGGTCATTTCTTTATATTTTGTCTTCTTAAAAGACCTTTGGCTTTCTTCCTATATGAAGCTGTTGATGTCATTCCATAACTCTTTTTTGCTTTTCAGTTATTAATGTCCAATGCATCATATCTATTCTTAGATGGTCTCTGAATTCAGGTGTGATATATTCAAAGTCACATTTTAGTTCTCATGGATTTGTTTTAATTTTCTTCAGCTTTAGCCTGAACTTGCATACAAGCAATTGACAGTTCCACAGTCTGCTCTGGCCTTATTTTGGCTGATGATATCGAAGTTCTCTATCTTCTCTTCCCTCAGATGTTTGATTTCTGTGCATTCTATCTGGTGAGGCCCATGTGTATAGTTGACCTTTTATATTGTTTGAAAAAGGTATTTATAATGAATAAGTAGCTGGTCTTGCAAACTTCTATCATATGATCTCCACCATAATTTCTATCACCACAGCCATATTATCCAACTACAGATTCTTTGTATTTATCACTGAGTCTTTCTTATACCTATTAAATATTCAACCTGTAAATAAACATCAAAGGTTTCTCACTGTCAAATGGCCTACTCTTTCTTTATTATGCTGTTATTGTTAAGTGCTGTGGAGTTGGTTCTGATTCATAGCAACCCTACACAGGGTTTCTGACGCCATAAATATTTGCAGAAGCAGAGAGCCTCATTAATTCTGTAGAGAGAGAGAACTGGGAAGCTTTGCTTAATATACAGAAAAAACATATATCTGAAATTCTGTCTTATGTAACTATTTCCATAATGTTAATGGTGTGGTGTTGTTGGTAAGCACTGGACTGCTAACTATAAAACTGGTGGTTTAAACCAACCAGTTGCTCCTCAGAAACCCTGTATAGGGTTCGTTATGAGTTGGAACCAACCAACTCAGCAGCACTTAACAATAAATATTCAATATTAACTCATTTTTAGGAATTTCAAGGATGAGGTACTAATGAAACATATTCACAATAAAATCTGAAATATATACATTATGAAAAATTTGAGGGTGATAGTATAGAAAAGAAATTTCCAACTCTAACTGAAGGAGACCTCAAAACATATAGGAAAAAGACCTTAAATACAGATTAAGACTCTAAGATCCAAAAAACCCCCCTCAGTCTTAAACTTCTGTTAAAGATATCATTATGAGCTCAGGGTTTGTTTTGGGGCTTTTAATTTTTTTGTCTTTAAGTAAAATTACATTAGTTTTTAAACATTCATAATATCATAACAAAAATATGCTATAGCATCTGACAATCTTCTTTTCATGTGTAGCATATAATACTCATTAAAAAGGACCAGGCAAATTCATTGCTTTGAAATTCAAGTATCAAACACTGTTAACAAAAAACATACTAAACTATCTTAGAGGACATTTGGTACTTAAAAACCCTTCAAATTTTAGCATGGAAGTCAATGAAAACAAAAGGTTCTCTTTAAAAAATACCTACAGAATGATTTTGCTAAATATGCCTATTCATTAAAAAGTACTAAAAAGTGTTAGAATTGGAAGGAGAATATGAATTCACTTTCTTCATCTTGAACAAAATAAAATAAACCTGAGGCAAGGTAAGACAAGGTAAAAGGCTTAAATAAGAGCAAAGGCACATGTCAACGATGTTTATCAGTTATGGAGAAGTCACTCTGAATAATTTTAACAAAAGTACTGTGCCAGACAAATATTCTAGGACACTGACTAATAGGTCATTGCTAAAGAAAATGACATCTATTACATATTACATTTAAAAATTGAAAATACTTAGTTAGGCTTTTAAATTTAAATAAAATATAGTAACACTTTTCTTACCAGCATGGTGCTCTGACAATAGACATGAGTGTAGATTTTTCTATGATTTGCAAGAGGAAATGTAAAATATATTTTATCAGATTCCTAAAAAAAAAAGAGAAAAACATTTTACACAACTACCATACTGTTCCAATTCACAGTGACCAAGTAAAGGGTTTCTAAGACTATAAATCTTTACGGAACCAGAAAGCCTCATCTTTCTCTCAACAGCTACAGTAAGCCTGGATAATTTCATCACTGAAAATTTGAGATAAGAATCAAGTAAGTCATTATTCTAACTTTATCACTTTTTGTATTGTTGAGACTCAATATTCTAGGAGTGAGAGAAAAAAGATATAACTTCAAAATAGAGAGAATACATAAAACACATTTCCTAGGTCTTCCCATTAAAAAAAAATCATAGAAATGTCAACCTAATAATAATAAACAATTCGGCCAAGAGTTTTCTTATGTGAGTCAGAAAGGATTATCCCTGAAATGAAGAAAACAAAAATATTCACAACTAGACTGTTAAGGAACATCAAGATAAAAGCAGGAGAAATTGTAATTCTAATCAGATCAATCAACGTCTATGAACATAACAGTCAAGAAATCAAATGATGAATTGCTTTGGTAAAATTTGCTGCAAAATACTCCCTTAAATTTTAAAAAACAATGTTGTCACTTTAATGACAAATGTGAATCTGACCAATTCATGGTCTTTTTAACTGCCTCATATGTATGCAAAAGTAGGTTATGCAAATGGAAAAGAGAGGAAAATTGATGAATTTCAACTGAGGTATTAGTGAAGAATATTAAGTATACTGTGGACTGGCAAAAGAATGAAATCTATCTTAGAAAAACCCCAGAAAGTGCCTTAGAAGCAATGATGGCAAGACTTCACCTGGCTTACTCTGGACATGTCATCAGGAAAGACCACCACTAGAAAAGAATTTCATACGTTTGGCAGAGTAGAGGATTAGTAAAAACCAAGAGGAATCCTAAATGAGATGGACTGACACAATACCCATGGCAATGGACTTAAATATACCCAGGATCAGGATCATGAAGATGGCTTAGGACCTGGCCATGTTTTATGATACACTGGGTCACCATGAATTGGAGCCTACTTGATAACAACTAACACCACTATCCAGATTATAGTTTTAACCTACAGGTTCCCAGAGAAAAGCAAACATTGAGTGAGAAATAGCTGATTCAGGGTCTGCAGCAGGAAATGTACAAATCGAACTAATACATCTTGTTATACCGAATAGCAAGGAAATGACCAAAGACAACTATATCAAAGACAAACTATAGTAAAAAGACCCAGGAGGCAAACTTGAAATGCTTCTACTGGTCAAAGGGAATAATTTCAGTTTCAATGGACTACACACAAATGTTTAAATCAATGTGTTCACATTACTTAAAAAACAAAACAAAACAAAAAACACCCCAACATCTAACAGTTACTATGGACAATGCTTGCAAATAAAATAAATAAATAAATAAGTCAAGATCTAAAGACCTAAACAATGATCATTCTTTTCTTTTATGATTTGTACCAGTTTTAATAAATTTAGTAGATGAGCCAAGATTATTTTATGTAAGTGTGGTCCAGTTAATAAATGAAGAAGGAATAATAAAATTGGTATGACATCTTTTTGCAGGCCCTAAGAAATTCTAGATGTTCTTTACCAACTGCTAACTAACATATCTAGCAGAAACCTGAATCTCATCAACCCTCAAGATCCAACTAGTAATTCACATGAAATAGTGGGCAAAGAAACATGTTGAATGACCCTGCAAAAATGCAATCAGCAAAACCCAGACTGTGTAAGGCTCTCCAGTTGATAAACAACCTGATTTGATTATCCAAGAGGTTACAAGGAAAAGAAAAGTGGGAAGGAAGGAATATAAATTAAAAGAGGATTAAATTAAGGATTATCATTCAATAACAATGAGTGGACCTTGCTTAGACTTGGAACTAAACAAAAGAAAAACCAAAACCAAAAATGTTTTTGCCAATTCTTAACAACACAGCATTTAAAGATAAATAATAAAGTATTTATGGGAAAAAGTGAAGAAAAACTCACATATAAAATACTTACATTGTAAGCCACATAGGTCCATTTGGGTACTTTTACTGGAACCCACATAGATGTCCCTAAAGTAAAGAAAATTAATCAATTTTTCTGATATTTTAATATTAAGTACTTTTGCTTTTCTATTTTCCAACGTTAATATAGAAATATTCCTACATCATAAAAGGGCATAAAAAAGAAGTGGTTTCTTCAATATTGTTGTTGTTGTCAGGTGCCACTGAGTGGGAACTGACTCATAGCGACTCCATGCACAGCAGAATGAAACAATGTCCAATCCTGGCCCAATATTAGCTACTTTAAAATGGAAAATATTGTGAGATGTTTTTTATATGCTGAACAATAACTAGCCTTTAAATCAATAATATATTTTAAATATACACCTTAATATCTCTAACTCTAAAGAAGAATCAATAAAAGGAAATTAATATTTTTGTTTCTCAAGTAATTATTTACAGACAATTAACTATGTAGATTGTTGTTAAGTACTGTGGAGTCAGTTCTGACTCATAGTGACCCTGTGCAGGGTTTCTGAGGCTGCAAATGTTTATGGGAGCAGAAAGCAAACTCCAGCGGAACAGCTGGTAGTTTCAAACTGCTGACTTTGAGGTTAGCAGCCCGCTTCATAACTATGTAGATGTAGACTGTTGTTGTTGTTGTTGT